TATCCACTTGTTGCAAATAGCAAGAATTCATTCATTTTTATGACGGAATAATATTCTGTTATTTATCCATAAAATAATTTCTTCATCTATTCAACCATCAGTGGACACTTAGGTTGTTTTCACAGCTTGGCTATCATGAATAGTGCTGCAATGAACATAGTGTGCATAGATCTTTTCAAGTTAGTGTTTTTATTTTCTTCAGATAAATACCCAGAATTGGAATTGCTGGATCATATAGTTTAAATTTGCTGAGGAACCTCAAAAAATTTTTCCACAGTGGCTGCACCAATTTCCATTCCACCAATAGTACACAGGGTTCCCTTTTCTTCATATCCTTCCCAACACTTATTTCTTGTCTTTTTGATAGCAGCCATTCTAACAGATATGAGGTGAAATCTCACTATGGTTTTGCTTTGCATTTACCTGATGATTAATAATGTTGAGCTTCTTTTCATGTACGTATTGGCTATCTGTATGTCTTTTTTGGAAAAATGTCTATTCAGATTTTCTGCCCATTTTCTAATCAGATTATTTGGGGTTTTGCTATTGAGTTATATGAGTTCTTTATATTTTTTGGATAGTAACCCCTTATCAGATATATGATTTGCAAATATTTTCTCTCATTCAGTAGATTGTCTTTTTATTTAGTTGATGTTTTCCTTGGCTGAGCAGAAGCTCTTTAGTTTAATGTAAACCCATTTATTTATTTTTTTTTGCTTTTGTTTTGGTGTCAGATTCAAAAAAATTATTGTTTTGGTAATACCTATGTCAAGGAGCTTACAGCCTATGTTTTTTTTTTTTTTCTAGTTTTATGGTTTCAAGTCTTATGTTCAACAGTCCTTAATCCATTTTGAGTTAATTTTTGTGTGTTGTGTAAGCCAGTGGTCTAATTTCATCCTTTGTCTATGGCAGTCCAGTTTTCCCAACACCATTTATTGAATTTTATTTCTTTTTCTTGCCTAATTGCTCTGACAAGAACTTCCAATACTATGTTGAATACAAGTGGAAAGAGTGGGCATCCTTGTCTTGTTCTCAATCTTACAGAAAAAGCTTTCAGCTTTTCACAGTTGAGAATTATTTTAGCTGTGGGCTTGTCATATTTGGCCTTTATTATATTGCAGTAACTTCTCCTATACCCACTTCACTGAGTTATCATAAATGGATGTTGAATTTCATTAAATGTTTTTTCTACATCCATTGAAATGATTATGATTTTTACCCTGCATTTTATTAATATGGTGCATTACATTGACTGATTTGTGGATATGAACCAGGCTTACAGCCCTGAACAAAGCCCAATTGGGGAGAACACTATCTTCTCAGCTGACTGAGTACGCTTTTTAACCAGACTTCAGTGGGGCATAAGCCTGGAACTATAAGACACCCTGGTGATATTTCTTGTGACTGATGATCAAGTTAAGTCCCTTTCTGTAGTCACTATGTTTCCAACTCCAAAATCCAGTTTTTGGGCTTAAGTCCTAAATGTTCCTTTATTTCTGAAAGTCTGTACCACCTAAAAGATGGTAGCTTACTTCTTTCATGACTTCAATGGTTTTACATTCTTTACTTCTCCTTAGATATCTAAATCTTTCCCATCTACCTATATGGATACTCATAGCCAGTATTTTGAATCCTGAGGAGTCTTCAGGGTATTGAAACCTTTCTCAATTTGGCAAATCCCAGAATGTTTTCTTTCTGGTAGGGCCACACTGCTATAGACATTAAAATTATATCCTACTGAATTCCACATATCATGGACTTCTCTGATCATTCTAAAGTCATTCTAGTGACTAAGCACTTTACAGGAAGGCCCACATTAAACAGGCCCCACCTAGACTCAAACTTGTTTTTAGTACCTCACTCTTAAATACAGACAAACAACCAAATACCATCAACCATTTGAGGTACGTCTCTAACAAAAAAGACAGGACAACAAACATTAAAAAGGACTTAAAAAAAATAAAGACAATACAGGAAGAGAAAAAAACAGTAATTAATATCTACAAAAAATACAAGAAAACATTACATCCAAAGCACAAAGACAGGATGCTATTAATATTTGTTTTTTTAAAATTAAGACATCTAGGTGAGATGATGGAGTAGGAAAATCCTAGCTCACCTTGGCCCATGGATACAACGAGGTAACACCAACATCAGTGTAAGTAACCCAGAAAATGACCCAAAGACTGACAGAACATACTCTCCACAGCTAAATGTAGAGAAGAGGTCACACTGAAGAGGGTAGGAAGGATGGAGACATGGTCAGGATCTAAAAAACCCTTGGGAGTATCCATGGAAGGGAGGGATGCAGCCAACTGGAGAGGGAAAAGAAACAGACCCTCATACCAAGCACCCCAGGCATGAAGAAACTGCATGGGGAAGACAACTCCCCATAACATTTGGCTTTGAAAATCAGAGGGGCCTAATTTCGCAAGTTCTTACAATCAGCTTAACACTTAGAACTATAAAAATCAACAGGTTGAGCTCTGGGAGACCCTGGAGAGCTATAGGAAACTGAGTCCCCATCCTTAAAGAGACAGCATAACAAACAGCCCCAAGGAGATAGAGCAGAGAAAGAGCAGTTTGAAAAATGCCTGGGGTATTCTGGGAGGAGATTTATTTATTAATTTCAGAGCATATCCTGGAGGGGCAGGGATCCTTAGGAGACTTCTCCAGTAACAAAAGAGCTGTTGGGTACCATTTCCCCCAGCCTAGACACATGGACACCTGCAGGAACCAACACAGTGCCAACACTCTCCACCTAACTGGCTAACAGTGCCCCTGCCCCCATATTCTCTGTGGACAGGCCCCCTCTCACCAGGCCTCAGCTCCAGGACCCCTCTCCCAACAAACCTTGCTAACACTGCACAGACACCCAGCCCTGGCATTCTCCTGCAGACCTGCCCCCTCCAATATGCCCTGGCAGGAACCCATCCAAAACAGTGCCACAAGCCCAGCATTGTGCAAGCAGCCCTGATAAGGGCCAGCACCACTCCAAAGTGACTCCTGCCCCAGGGACAGGGGCAGATAACCACAAAGACAAATTTAACTGCAGCCCCAGCAGTGAGCTCAAAGAAGACATCTGGTCTGATTACAGGCCCAGCCCACCAAAGAAAGTTTCTCAAGGGACAACAAAGAGAAGGCACCCTGCAGTTCCTGGCTACCACATCTCTGGCAAACACATGATCTGATTCTTTTTTTTTTTTTTTTAACATGCTCTGATTCAATTCAACCCCAAGGCAGCCCTATATTGGCTCACTAACAACACAGGGACCAAATCCTGCCTACAACAGGCAAAGAGAGCCATCACTGAAGACGAAACTGAAGGCAAAAGCTCAGCCACAACAGTAGGGTGCACACAACACACATAGGAGACACCCCTGAAGCTCCAGGTTCTGGTGAACACGGGACATTGCACTGCAGGGTACTACAGGACCTCTTCTTCACAAGGCCACTACTTTCAAGTGCAGGAAACATAGCTGACTTTCCTAACACAGAGAAACAGAGTTAGAAAAAAAAGAGGATTCAGAGGAATATGTCCCCAATGAAAGAACAGAAAAAAATCACGGCAAGAGAGCTAAACAAAATGGGGATAAGTAATATGTGTGATATAGATTTTAAAGTAATGGTCATCAAGATATTCACTGGACTTAAGAAAAGAGTGGAGGACCTCAGTGAGACCCTCAACGAAGAGAAAACATAAAGAACAAATCAGAGATGAAGAACTCAATAATTGAAATTAAAAATACATGAGACGGGATAGATAGTAGGCTAGAGGAAGCAGAAGAACAGATCAGCAATCTGGAGGACAGAGTAATGCAAAGCAGTCAAGTTGACAGGAGAGAGAAAAAATAATAAAAAATGAAATAGACTTAGGGAACTAAGTGACACCCCCAGGTATAATAACATTTGCATTATAGGGATCCCAGAAGGAGAAGAGAGAGAGAAAAGGGGGAAGAAAGTTTATTTGAAGAAATAATAGCTGAAAACTTCCTGAAACTGGAATCTGGGGGAAGGAAACAGAAATCCAGATCCAGGAGGTACAGAGAGCCCCCAACAAAATCAACCCAAGGAGGTCCACACCAAGACACACAGTGATTAAAGTAGCAAAAAAGTAGTGATAAAGAGAGAATTTTAAAGCAAAAGAAGACGGTTACATATAAGGGAAACCCCACAAGGTTATCTGCTGATTTTTCGGCAGAAACTTCACAGGCCAAAAGGGAGTCACATGATATATTCAAAGAGCTGAAAGAAAAAAACACCCTGCATCCAAGGATGCTCTACCCAGCAAGGCTATCATTCAGAATAGAAGGAGAGATAAGGAGTCTCCCAGACAAACAAAAGTTAAATTCATGACCACTAAACCAGCCCTATAAGCAATGTTAAATGGGACTTTCTGAATAGAAAGGAAAGACCATAAGAAGGAGTAAAAAAAAAAGTAGGAAGCACAAAAGAAGTAAAATTAAGTATATCTATAAAATCAGTCAAGGGATTCACAAAATAAAAGGAGGTACAGTATGACACAATATACCTAAAACATGGAGGGGAGAGGAGTAAAAATTTAATGCTTTTAGCATGGGTTCAAACTTAAGTGACCATCAAATTAATATAGACTGCTATATACATAAGAAGTTATATATCAACCTAGTGGTAAGCACTAAACGAAAACTGACAATATACAAACAAACAAAACAAAATAAAGAGAAAGGAATCCAAGTATATCACTAAAGAAAGCCAGCAAGCCATGAGAGAAGAGAGGAAGAGAAAAAAAAACATAGAAGAACTACAAAAACAACCAAAAACCAAATAACAAATGACAATTAAGTACATACCTACTAATAATTACTTTGAATGTAAATGGACTAAAAGCTCCAATCAAAAGACATAGGGCGATGGAATGGATAAAAAAAAAAAAGCAAGACCCATTTATATGCTGCTTACAAGAGTCTCATTTGAGACCTAAAGACACATGAGAACTGAAAGTGAGGGGGCACGTGTGTGGGAGGGGGCGGGTGAGGAAGGATTGCCAGCGAGATCGCGAGGCGAGGCTCGCGCGCCCGCCCCCGCCCTGGCCCCCAGCGCCCACCCGGTCGGCCCGGCTCAGCCATGATCAAGGCGATCCTCATCTTCAACAACCATGGGAAGCCACGGCTCTCCAAGTTCTACCAGCCCTACAGTGAGGATACACAACAGCAAATCATCAGGGAGACATTCCATTTGGTATCTAAGAGAGATGAAAATGTTTGTAATTTCCTAGAAGGAGGATTGTTAATTGGAGGATCTGACAACAAACTGATTTATAGACATTATGCAACATTATATTTTGTCTTCTGTGTGGATTCTTCAGAAAGTGAACTTGGCATTTTAGATCTAATTCAAGTATTTGTGGAAACATTAGACAAGTGTTTTGAAAATGTCTGTGAACTGGATTTAATTTTCCATGTAGACAAGGTTCACAATATTCTTGCAGAAATGGTGATGGGGGGAATGGTATTGGAGACCAACATGAATGAGATTGTTACTCAAATTGATGCACAAAATAAACTGGAGAAATCTGAGGCTGGCTTAGCGGGAGCTCCAGCCCGTGCTGTATCAGCTGTAAAGAGTATGAATCTTCCTGAGATCCCAAGAAATATTAACATTGGTGACATCAGTATAAAAGTGCCAAACCTGCCCTCTTTTAAATAAAAAATTAAAAAGGCCACTCCCAGGTAAAATCCAGGGGGAAAAGTCATCTGAGTTTACCATGCAGTTGTTTACCAAAAATAGAGGAGGAGAGTCTTAACTTTTGCTCTTGGATTTAAGTCAAGGTACTGTATAAAATTTGTGTAAAATCAGTATGGAAGTTCAATGTTGCTTTTCTTGCTCAGTGATTTTGAAGAAATTGGGTAGTTCCAGTGTGATATTTCTCTTTCTTTTCTAAACTGCATTCCTGTGCCCACCTAAGGCATGCCTCTATGTATTGGCTGCTACAGTATTTCAAAAAGTGTTTGAGACATTTCTTTAAATTAAGTACAATCCAAAATGTTGGTGTTTTGTATGGATCACAAGTGCAGCATTCCATAATTCTTTGTTATTTGTCACAATTGTTATTTAAAGAACCAAGTATGTATTGCATGAAAACATTATGACCTTTTCCTCTTAGTTTAAATAAACTCCAAGGTAACTGGACTTCTAAAAAAATAAATAAATAAAAGAACTGAAAGTGAAGGGATGGAAAAGCATTTATTATGCAAATGGGAATGAAAAGAAAGCTGGAGTAGCAATACTTACATCAGGCAAAATACACTTTAATACAAAGACTGTAACAAGAGACAAAAAAGGACATTATATAATCACAAAGAAAACAATCCAACAAGAAGATATAACGATAGTAACTATTTAGGCACCCAACATAGGAGCACCCAAATACATAAAGCAGCTAAGAACAAAAAGGAAGTAATCAATAGTAATACAATAATAGGAGGGGAGTTTAACACCCCCACTTACATCAGTGGATAGATCACACAAACAGAAAATCAGCAAGAAAACAGTGTCTTTGAATGACACACTGGACCAGATGGACTTAACAGATATATTCAGAACATTCCATCCTAAAAGAGCAGAGTACATTCTTTGCAAGTACACATGGGACATTTTCCAGAATAGATCACATATTAGGCCACAAAACAAGTCTCAGCAAAATAAAAAAGACTGCAGTCATATCATGCATCTTTTCTGATCACAACACTATGAAACTAGAAATTAACTTCAAGAAAAAAAATCTGGAAAGATCACAAATACATGGAGATCAAATATCATGCTACTGAACAATGAATGGGTCAACCAAGAAATAAAAGAGGAAATAAAAAATACATGGAGACAAATTAAAATGAAAACACAATCATCTAAAATCTTTGGGATGCAGCAAAAGTGGTTCTAAGAGGGAAGTTTATAGCAATACAGGTCTACCTCAAGAAGCAAGAAAAATCCCAAATAAAAACCTAACCTTACACCTAAAGGAACTAGAAAAAGAACAAACAAAATCCCAAACCAGCAGAAGGAAGGAAATAATAAAGATTAGAGCAGAAATAAACAAAATAGAAACTAAAAAAACTACAGAACAGATCGATGAAAGCAGGAGCTGGTTCTTTGAAAAGATCAACAAAATTGATAAACCTTTAACCAGATTCATCCAAAAAAAATGCATAAATTCCTAGAAACATATAAGCCCCCCAAAACTGAATTACCAGCAATGAAATTGAATCAATAATCAAAAAACACCCAACAAACAAAAGTCCAGGAGCCGATGGCTTCACAGGTGAATTGCACAAAATATTTTAAAAAGCTAATCCCCATTCTTCTCAAACTATTCCAAAAAATAGAAGAAGAAGGAAAGCATCCAAATTCATTCTATGAGGCCAGCACTGCCCTGATATGAAAAGCAAAGAGGCTACCAAAAGAGAGAACTACAGGCCAATATCGCTGATAAACATAGATGCAAAAATCCTCAACACTTTTATTCAACATATTACCAAAAGTCTTAGCTACAGCAATCACACAACAAAAAGAAATTAAAGGCCTCCAAATTGGTAGGGAAGAAGTAAAACGTCCACTCTTTGCAGATGACATGCTACTATATAGAGAAAACCTTAAAGATTCCACCAAAAAACTGCTAGAACTGATAAATGAATTCAGTAAAGTTGCAGGATACAAAATCAAAGTATAGAAGCTGTTGCATTTCTATACACTAATAAGGAAGCAGCAAAAAGCAAAATTAAGAAAACAATCCCATTTACAATTGCACCAAAAATAAGAAAAAGCTAGAAATAAATGTAACCAAGGAGGTGAAAGTCCTATACTCTGAAAACTATAAAATACTGATGAAAGAAATTTAAGATGACACAAAGAAATGGAAAGACATTCCGTGCTCATAGATTAGAAGAAGAAATATCGTTAAAATGGCTATACTTCCCAAAACAATCTACAGATTTAATGCAATCCCTATTAAGTACCAACAGCATTTTTCATAGAACTGGAAAAAATATCCTAAAACTTGTATAAAACCACAAAATACTGTGAAGAGCCAAAGCAATCTCAAAAAAGAAAAAAACAAAGCTAGAGGTATCACAATTCCAGATTTCAAGTTATATTACAAATGTGTCATAATCAAAACAGTAGGATACTGGCACAAAAATAGACACATAGATCAATGAATAGAATAGAATAGAATAGAATAGAATAGAATAGAATAGAATAGCAAGCCCAGAAATAAACCCACAATGTTATGGTCAATTGATCTTTGACAAAGGGGGCAAGAATACACAATGGGAAAATGACAGTCTCTTCAAAATGGTGGTGGGTAAACTGGACGGCTTCCAGCAAAATGAAACTGGACCACTTTCTTGCCACACATGAAAATAAACTCAAAATGAATTAAGTACCTGAAACCATAAAAACCCAAGAAGAGAGCACAGACAGTAATTTCTCTATCAACCCTAGCAACATTTTTCTAGCTATGTCTCCTGAGGCAAGGGAAACAAAAGCAATAATAAACTATTGGGACTACATCAAAATAAAAAGCTTCTGCAGAGCAAAAGAAACAATCAACTAAAAGACAACTTATTGAATGGGAGAAGATATTTGCAAATGACATATCTGATAAAGGGTTAGTACCTAAAATATGTAAAGAACTTATACAATTCAGCACACACAAAAAATCCAATTAAAAAATGGGCAGAAGACATGCACAGACATTTCTCCAAAGAAGACATACAGCTGGCCAACAGACACAAGAAAAGATTCTCAACATCACTAATCATCAGGGAAATGCAAATCAAAACCACAATGAGATATCACCTCACATCTGTCAGAATGGCTAAAATCAGTAACACAAGAAACAAGTGTTGGCAAGGATGTGGAGAAAAAGGAACCCTTGCGCACTGTTGGTGCGAATGCAAGTTGGTGCGAAAGCCACCACTGTGGAAAACGGTATGCAGGTTCCTCAAAAAAATTAAAAATAGAAATACCATATGATCCAGTAATTCTGCTGCTGGGTATTTACCCAAGAATATGAAAACACTAATTCAAAAAGATATATGCAGCCCTATATGTATTGCAGCATTACTATGGATAAAGAAGATGTGTGTGTGTGTGTGTGTGTGTGTAATGGAATATTACTCATCCATAAAAAAGAATGAAATGTAGCCCCTTGCAAGAACATGGATGGAGCTAACTGAAATAAGTCAGTCAGAGAAAAATACCATATGACTCACTCATATGAGGAATTTAAGAAACAAAATATAGGAACAAAGGGGGAAAAAAAGAGACAAACCAAAAAATAGATTCTTAACTACAGAGAACAAATTCATGGTTACCAGAGGGGAGTGGGGGGAGGTGGGTGAAGTAGGTGATGGGGATTAAGACTACACTTACCATGATGAGCAGTGAGTAATGCATAGAATTGTTGAATTACTATTTTGTACACCTGAAACTAATATGACACTGTATGTTAACTACACTGGAATTAATTTTTTTTAAAAAAAGAGAGAGAGAGAGAGAATGGTACACTACAAGGCAGAAGGAAGAAAAAGCCTGGCTGCCTTTCAATTCAATGACTGTGCACAATGTCTTGTCCCCCAGTAAAAACATGGCCCAGTGAATTCCACAGATCTAACTACTCATATTTCTTTTTCCTCCTTCCTGTGGGGGCCATATGTGTTTATTACTCATATTCCTTGTGATAGATGTCTTCCATTTCTGGCAGTTCTAAACACACTATTTGGAGGGAATTTCAAGAAAGAAGCTCACGTATAGGCAAATAGCCCCTTACCCAGGAATAAAGTCTCTAGAATTTGGGCATGTGACCCTCCAATCAGATGCTTCTAAAACCCTGACCCCGTAGTAACACAGAGAAGCAAATGGCAGTTTTGAATCTTTCAGGGGTAGTAGAGGAACCGGTAATGGCAGCATTCAATGTCCAGGGGTAGCCAGGCCAATGACAGCTGGATAACCACCATATTCTTCTTGTGTATTGATCTGGTCTCTCTTTTTGGCTGCCTAATTTCCCATGGCTTCCTGTCCATGTTCCAAACCTCATTCATCAGCTTTTCCATTAATTTTATGAGCTATCCACTGACCTTACAATACATTCCTTTCTCTCTAATTAACCTAAGTTGGTCTCCATTGTGTAGGAACCTGGAAATGATTAGTACATTCCCCTTTGTGTAGAAGTCGCCTTTTCTATGAAGATAAAAAGATGAGGGAGAGGGTTGCCTCCTAACCAATTGCCCCTAAGTCAGGTGGCCAGCTCTAATCCAGAAGAATCCATTATTGTGACTTTGGTGGTAATCATTTCTTTGCTTTTCTTTATAGTTTTGCCACCTATGTATATATCCCCCCAAAATGTAGTTTCATTTAGCCTGATTTTGAACTTTACATGAATCATACTGTATACATTCTTTTGTGCCTTACTTCTTTCACTCAATGTTTATGGGATTCATCCAAGTTGTCAAGTAGAGCTCCAATTTGTTCATTTGCATGGCTGTAAAGTAACCCACTGTAAGAACATCTCATGACTTATTTATTCCACTGTGTGTAAGATGTTGTGTTGTATCAGTGTGGGGCTATAATAAACAAAACTGCTTTGAATATTCTGGTATATGTATTCTAGGGGCATTCAAGGGCATCTACTTGGCAGTAGAATATCAATCATGGGTTATGTGTACCTTTGACTTTCCTAGATAATGCCAAACCATTTTCTGAAGTGAACACACCAACACCACCAGCAGTCTTCAGGAGTTTCTGCTGCATGATGTTCTCGCCAACAACTGGTGGTGTCAAACTGTTTCATTTTAGCCACCCTGGAGGATGGCTCATAGTATCTCACTGCAGTTATAATTTTCATTTCCCTGATTAACAGTGAAGTTGAGGATATTTGCATATGTTTATTGGTCATATTTTTTCTTTGGTAAAGTCCCTATTCAAGTCTTTTGCCCATTTTTTTTCAATGTGATTATCCCTTACTGATTTGAAGGAGTTTTCATATGTTGTGAAGGCTACTCCTTTATTAATTATGTGTGTGGTAAATATAGTCTCCCACTCTGTATTTTGTGGGGTTTTCTGTTAATTTTATGCTATCTTTTGATGAACAGAAGTTCTTTATTTTAATCTTGTCAAATGTATCAGTCTTTTCATTTATAGTTGGTACTTTCTATCGTGTTTTAAAATTCTCTACCTTTGAAGTCATAAAGATATTCTCCTATATTACTTTTTAAAAGCTTTAAATGTTGTCTTTCTCATTAAGCCTATAAATGATTTTTGTGTGTGCTGTGAGGAAGGGAATTTTTTTTCCCATATGGATATCCAACTGTCCCAGCAGCATTTATTGAAAAGCCCATCTTTTCTCTACAGCATCTCTATCATACACAAAATGTCTATATATGTTTGGGTCTATTCTTAGGCTCTCTATTCTGCTCCATTAGCCTATTTGCCATTCCTATACTAATACTATATTGTCTTATTTACTATAATATACAATAATTCTTGATCTATTATAGATCAAATTCTCCCAATATCTTGACAAATTTTGGATCTTTACACTTCAATGTAAAATTTTAATTTCTTTATCAAGTTCCACAAAAACTAAAATGAACAAACAACCACCACCTGATGAAATTCTGATTTGCAATCACATGCAATTTATAAATTAATTTAGGGAGAACTATCACCTTTACCATACGGAGTCTTTCAATTAATGTCTTGTAACAGCACTCCAACCAGTTTTAAGGGTTAACTTGCTTCAAGCTTATGCACTTCTTGCTTGTTGACCTAAGTCCCTTGGTCTGTAGCAGAACTAACTTACTTTCCTCGAGTTTTGCAGACCACTGGCCTTAAGGAGTGAAGGACCAAACTTTGCCAGAAGATAAGACCTGATTACATTCTAAAGCAGCTACCACTGATGCCAGCAAGTCTGTTCAGGGTCATGTCGACTTAGAACTAACTGCCTGGGCACCTGTTTCTCCTGCAGATAGCTTCTCTCCCTTTTCTCATGCCTTCTCCTTTAAATCCCTCCAGCTTCGCCTAGACAGTGATGAATGGTCTTTGAGATGTTAAGCCACCATCTTCCCAGTTTGCCGGCTTCCTGAGTAAAGTAACCTTTCCTCTCCCACCATCACTTGTCTCAAGTATTGATTTTCAAGTGCCAAGCAGCTGAACCTGAGTTCAGAACCGGTTCTCTGTCTGGTAACAAACTCAGGATCCCTCCACTTATTTTAGGTCTTCCTTAATGTCACTCAATAATGTTTTATTCTCTACATGGAATTGGAATATTAGCACAGAGGCCGTGTAATTATGTACACATGTTTAAAATTCTTATGTTTTCCTGATGAACAGAATCTTTCATCATGATTATTTCTAGTAATGCTTTTTGATTGATATTGATAGAGATGTATTAGCTGTAGTTTCCAATTGCTGCTGTTAAAAATTTCCACAAGCTTAGTGGCTTAAAACAATACAAATATATTATTTTACAATTCTGTAGGTCAGAAGTCTGATACAGGTCTCACTGGGCTAAAATCAGATGTTGGCAAGGCTGCATTTCTTGCTAGAGAGAAAATCCATTTCCTTACGTTTTCCAGATTCTAGAAGCCCCTTGTCTCCTCTTCAAAGCCAGAAACATTGCATCTCTCTTTGCCTTTATTCTACAGTCACTTCCCCTTTTGACTGATTGTTTTCTGCCTCCCTCTTGTGATTACATTGAGCCCACTCAGATAATCCAAGCTAATCTCTATATCGCAAGCTCCTTGATTTAATCACACCTGCAGAATCCCTTTTGCCAAGGAAAATAACACCTTAATCTTAGTGTTTGTGTCCTCCCCAAAATTCACATGTTGAAACCCTGCTCCCTAACATCCTGGTATTTCGAGGTGGGGCCTTTGGGATGTGATTAGGAATGGGATTAGGACCCTTATAAAAGAGGCCCTAGAAATCTCCCTTGGTTAGTCTTTCAGTCCTAGCCCTGGTACTAGTGGTTGCCATCAGAGAAATCCTGGCTTTGGCTTTTGCTAACTGATCACTGTTCTAATTTCAATTTACTGTTCTTAACCATCACCAACGAAGCCCTCTCCCCACTTCCAGTTCCCGCTTTGGAGATCCCTTACATCCCTGCAAATTTAATAATGGTTTAAAAATAACATCATTTTTCTCAAGTCTTTGGGGGTTTTCTTGCTTGCCTTTCTTGGGGGGGCAATGGAATGTGGTAGACTGTATAATGGCCCCCCACATAGGTCCCTATTCTAATCCCCAGTATGTTACCTATATGGCAAAAGGGGCTGGGCAGGTGTGATGAAGTTAAGGCTCTTGCTATGGGGAAATTTATCCCAGAATATCTGGTTGAACCCAATGTAATCACAAAGGTTGTTTGTTATAAGAAAGCAGATAGAAATTCAGAGAGGGCAAATTGAAATGATGCAACTTGTGAGCCAAGGAATGCCAGCAACTTCTAGAAGCTGGAGAAAGTAAGGAATGGATTCTCCCTTGCAGCCTCCAGAAGGAACAGTTTTGCCTGCACCTGGTCTAAATCTAATTGATGACTCAACCTCTCCACTTCGATGTCTAATGTAAATTTCAAATTCAACACGTAAAAAACAAACTTCCTGATTTCTGCCTTCAAAATACTTTCTTCTACAATTCAGTTCTTCCAAGTTGCTCACAATGTCTCCTTTACCGCATACTCCACATATATCCACAAATCTTATCAGCTCTTTTAAAATATGTCCAGAATTCAATTAGGTTTCCATCATCTCAATCACAACCACTCTGGCCTAAACCAACACTATGGCCTGGATTACTGCAATAACTTCCTAACTGATAACACCTTTCACCAACTAATACAGATTTATTTTCCACCAGCTCCCTCTATATGGTCTCTGGGAGACAGAACACTTTGTCTCTCATTCAGTGCCAGGAACCCCAGTGCAAGCTCACAGACGCTCCACTTCCTAGAATGGATAAATATTTTATACCACTACGTATACAGCAATTCGTTTAAGATGTGTGTACGAAAATTAGCTGCAGGAGCCTTTTACGAATTAAAAAAAAAAAAATCCAGAACAAAGCAGTTAATGAGCAAGAGGGGTCAGCTGGCTGAGGCAGTTTCCATAAGCCTTCCCTGTTAACCTCAGCAGACAGGTTTTCCGTTTAAGCCAACACCCTTTTGACCACTGTGGGTGGAAAGTTTCTCGCTCCACTCGGCACCTCACCCTTAGCTGACGGCCTAATCACCTCGTCCTCGTCCTGCCTTGGCAACAGGTGAGCCCACGTGGCTTCGGGCTGGAAGATGCACTTGAACCTTCCAGACCCTCACAAATGACACTGGATCCTGGACCACACGTACGACTTTAGTCAAACAGAAAAAGGGGCACACTTCTCATTTACCTTCTCCACTGTACTAGTAACTTAAAATTTAAAAGGCAGGGAAGAAACCTTCGAAGACTGAACCTTCAACCTGGCTGCTGGTGCAGGAGCCGAGAGTAACCCCTGGAAAGCGTATTCCTCGCCGGACTCTGAGGTTGATGGGAAGTGATATCTGCGTCGATTACCCTGACCCAAAATGGCAGGTTATTCGATCACACGCATAGCGATAAAGCTAGAGCCACTGGAAGAAGTAAGATGAGAAGGGAGAACGAAAGCAACATTTTCTTGCTCCATCATGGAGGCAGAGTTTATAAGGAGAAAAAAAGTCAAGGACGATGAAGCACCCAGATGTTAGGAACTGCGGGACTACCCAGGGAGGCCTAAAGCGACTCTGACCTAATCCAACATGGCGCCAAAGAGTATAACCCGGAGCGGAAAGAGGCGGTGATTACCGTGATCCAAGATGGCGCTGGCGTTTGAAACAAGCCGAGAGGCGGGGAACGCCAGGAGTGTCTTTGCCCTCTTTCAAGATGGCGGCCGCCGTGGGCGCAGTCTCTGGCTCCGCCCCGCGGCCTCGGCCCCGCCTCTCCCTCGTCCCTCCCTCCGCCCCCTCGCAGTGCCTTGTCCGGGCGGTGGTGTTCGTGCAAGGAGAGCGTGCTCTGGGCACTTGACATGGCGGCAGCGGCGGCTACTGCGGCGACGAAGGGGAATGGGGGCGGGGGGGCCCGGGCCGGGGCCGGGGAAGCTGGCGGCGCGCGGAAAAAGAAGGGCCCAGGGCCTCTGGCCACGGCGTATCTGGTCATCTACAATGTGGTGATGACGGCGGGGTGAGGCCGGGACTCGGGGAGGCGGGGAGCAAGCCGGGCCCGGGAGGGGTCTTTGCGGCCGGCGGAGCGGCCGGGCCCGCGCGCAGGGCAGCCCGGGCGGTGGGTGTTAGGGTCCGGGCTCCGGGGCACTGAGGGCAGCCTAGTCGGCCCAGGTGCCTGCCCGGGACTCCCGCCTGGGCGAGGGGCCGAGCAAGTTCTCAGGCTGGGTGTGCCCGAGCTGGAGTTCCCGGGCTCCAGGGCGGCACGGGGAAAGCCGCCCTGGCGCTGGTCCCAAAGGCCTTGGGAGGACGGGTGGGCTGGTCAGAGGTCAGTCCGGGGGGTGGGGGGGCGGCGTGCCGGCTATCCTGCAGCGCCGAGGAGAGCCCCGGCGGCAAGTCACGAATGCGAGCCATTTCCCCCAAGGGGAGTAGAGGGAGCTGTGGCTGCAGAGTGACCATTAAATATTTAGGCGGCTGTTTTCAAAATCCGGACTGAGCTTTAGTCTGAAAGGTAATGGAGAAGCGTTCAAAGTTTTTGACCAGTGACATAAGCAGAGCTGTGCTTTAAATGAGTTGAGACTTTCTAGAATGGATTGGGGTAGGGAAGGTGGAAGGCAGAGTTATTGGGGATGAGGGGAATATACCCTCTAAACAGGTTTTACCTCCTCTTGTTTCTCCCTCATTTTAGTCCATCCCTTGTCACAGCAGGTTTTTAGTTCTAGTTCTGACACTATCTGTGTGACCTTGGATAAATCACTTTGCTTTTCTTGTCCTCCGTTTTTCATCTGTAAAACTAAAGAGTTTGGATTAGGTGATCTCCAGGGTTCCTCCAGTTCTTTGATCCCATAGTTTTGGTGCTGAGGATCACAGGATCAGACTATTTGTTATGTTTTGTGTTTTTTTTTAAGATTTTATTTTTAGGTAATCTCTACACCCAATTTGGGGCTCCAGCGTACAACCCAGAGATCAGTAGTCGCTTGCTCTTCCGACTGAGCCAGCCAGGCGCCCCTGTTATGTATTTTTGAATTGTATTCATCTGTAAAAGATTTTCCCTAACATTTTATTATGAAAATTTTCAAAGATGCAGAAAAGTTTAAAGAACTGTAGGGTGAACATCTAGTTTTATTTATTTTTAAAATAGGTACTACATTGGCAGGTGCATAATTCAAAATATACCCAAGAGCATACAGTGCAACTCTTCCCTCTCACCCTTCCCTTCCACCCAGAACCCCTCCCCGGAGGTGCTAATTTTGTGATTCCCTCAGATGCTGATGAAAGCAAATATGTACACACACTCCCTTTTTAACACAAATGCTAATGTCACATTAGCATTTCAGCACCTTGCATTCTTCACACACATATATAGGGAGGATTGTAGACTTGATTGCTTCATTAGAAATGGCTGGTGTTGAAGCTTAGGTTCAGAGAGGTTGTTGACTTTCTTGACTGGCTTGAGATCACTGAACTTGTTAGTAACAGATCTGGGTCTAGAGCCTGTTTCTCTTGATTCACAGGCCAGTGGAGAAATAATAAAGATACAAGTTTTCTTTATTGCATAAATGGTCAGAGAGTGATTTTTAAAAGAACATTTCAGGAGTTTGTACTTGTAGGCACGGCCATTAACAAGAGCATTAGACTGGAGAGAGATTTTAGGGTACACTGGGGAAGAAAAAAGCCTTTATTCCTGGGTGATGGAGGATGGGGAGTGGTGTCTTAAGCCAAGAAAAGAAATTGGGATTTTGAGGGCGCCTGGGTGTCTCAGTCGTTAAGCGTCTGCCTTCGGCTCAGGTCATGATCCCAGGGTCCTGGGATCGAGTCCCACATCGGGCTCCCTGCTCTGCGGGAAGCCTGCTTCTCCCTCTCCCACTGCCCCTGCTTGTGTTCCTGCTCTCGCTATCTCTCTCTGTCAAATAAATAAAAAAATCTTTAAAAAAAAAAAAAGAAATTGGGATGAGGAGAAGATAGTCTTTTTTTTTTGGTAGGTTGCTAATGCTGGGACAGTTACACCATTAAGGAATTCATTTCTTTTACAAATTCTTACTTGACATCTTTGTATGATAGTTTCTAGAAATAACATAGACCATATATCCCATTGCCTAGTTAGGATTGTACATTTATTTAGGTGAATCTGTTACTGCTTTCAAGGAGACACACCTTAATAATAAAGGTCCATTTGTTTCACTATGGAACTTAACAAAAAATTACAAGGCCTGAGAAATTCATTTTTGAGAAGGACAGAACAGAAATGTAACATTCTCATTGATATGCCTGTTTCCCTGTTTTGTGTTTTGTATTGATCTGGCCTTTTTTTACTGAATTGATTTTGGGAAATTTGGCTAAAAAAATCTTTTTTTCTTTAAAAAACCAACCTTATTTCATTCGCAATTTTAAAAGAGTAGGGTATGGGTGTGTTTCTGTGAGATACTTGTGAAAACAGTTTAAAACATCTTTCCTCCGCCCTGTTATTATTACAGACCCTTTGACTGCACAGGCCATTTAAAATTTTCCTATAACGGCTTTTCTCTTGTCTTAGATTTCTGGCACTTAATTTAGCTGCTCAAAGACCAATTTAGCTTATTCTCTTCATTTTGGCCTTGTTCTCAACAGGCAAGTTTGCCAAAAAGCTGAGCTCCAGATGGGTGAGGTGCCACTGTGTTTTTGCAGAGCAGAGCACTCTTGGGTGCTGTTGGTGGTGCAGCATTTCTGTGCATTACAGCTTGGCATTTGAGGGCCATAGTTGATAAATCCGGGCTACTGATTCTTGAGGTCACCTTTAGCAGTACCTGTTGTCGCCAGATTTTCTGTTACCCCCAGTCCTTCTTACCTTTTTTTTTTTCTTTTCCTGATTGCTCTTTTTCCTCTTTCTCATAGGTGGCTGGTTATAGCAGTTGGTCTGGTCAGAGCATACCTGGCTAAGGGTAGCTATCATAGCCTTTATTATTCCATTGAAAAGCCTTTGAAATTCTTCCAAACTGGAGCCTTACTGGAGGTAGGTCCTGAGATTTGTTGTTCTTATTGGTTTCTATTGTTAAAAATTTGAAAACTTGCCTCATAGCATACTATAATGCTGATGACTAGATTATCTTTTTGTCTGTCTAGATAAGGTAAAATCTCATTTAATTTATATTACTTGGAATATGTTTTACATTCAGCTTCTATTGAAAATCAAATGAAACAAGCTTAAAATAGGATTTTTTTTTAAATTCTAGGGAAATTGTAGGAAAGTATTAGCAAACTCAGATACTTTCAGCAGCCAGCTTATAATGGAAACAGTGAAGCTGGTGAGTGTAGGATGTCAGACATGGTAGATAAAAGAAACAGTAGAGCCTATCTATATACATCAAAAAATTTTTCTTAAATAAATGTTCATTAGTTTCCCTGTATTAAGAGTAACATATCTAGTCCTGTCTCCTGAGGTCAGTATATGTTAGCATTTTTGAGTTGCAAGTGACAAAGTATTTTGAACAAAAAAGGAATTTACTGGCTTTATAGTTGATAAAGATAAAGATTGATAAAGGGTTAACTTACCAAATCAAAGGAACCAGCTCAGGAATGAGACCCAAGGATTTGACATTGCCAGACTCTTTCCATCTCTCATCTCTGTTTATGTCTATTTCTCTTTGAATGTTGGTCTTAGGCTCTCCTACTGCAGACTGCCTTCTTCCATATGGTAGGAAAGGGGGGAGGAGTTATTTTTCTCAGCCTCTGTGTCACAATTCTAGGGAAGGGTTCCGATTGGCCTTACTTAGACCAGTCACCCTTGCCTGTGATGTGAGATAGTTGATTAGCCAGGTCTAGGACATATGCCCATCCTTCAGGCCAAGGGACTATAGGCTTTGTTAATGGAAAAGGAGGATGGGGGTAGCCTTGGGCACACAGAATCAATAGCTACTATAGTTCATAATGGTAAAAAACCTTCAGGTTGCAGCAAAAATCTGGTGTTCACTTTCATTTCACTTAGTCTCCAGGGCAAGCCCATCATGACATTTGGAAGGGTATTACCTTTTACCTCCGGGAAATGACATGTAACACCTTAACCTCTCACCTTCACATTTGAAACAGAAAGTTGTAGTTTTCCTTTTTTTGTTTTTTCTCTCAGAAAGCAGAGGTTTCAAAACTGTCCATATTTACACATTTTAGGCAGATGGTATGGGGAAGTGAGCTTCCAGCTGCGAATCAAGGACCCATATTCTAACTATGCTGGTTTTATCAGTTCTGTGAATTTGAGCAAGTCATTTATCTCTGTCCACCCTTTCTTCTCATTTGTGAAATAATTAGGTTAAAGTAGATTTCCAAAGCCCCTTCCTGCCTGATGGGAGGAAGTCTGAGAGAACTTCAGCAAATCCTTGTGTGGGCCATTTGTTAAACTTAGAGTTTTGAATTATTTTTTTGGAAGGTGCCAATAGTAAGTAAATAGTACTTTGCCTCTCAGAGCTTTGGCCAGCACAATTCTCTCCAGCTATAGAGAAGCAAGTTTGGGGCCAGGCCATGAGAAACTGCCCCAGTGCTTGACATGGTATGCAGTTGTACCCGATTGGAATTCTTCAGTGATTTAAAGGGGTTCTATCTCCCTAAGCCTTTGTAATATTAGAAGTATAATTTTTTAAATTTCAGTATGTCTTAGGGAAGGTAGTGACATTAATATGTTTTATAAAATCCACTCAGGAACCAAATCTTAACATTTTGAAGGATTAGCCCATTTATCCCTATAGAATTTTTAACAGGGATTTAAGAAAACATTTTGGATTTTTGGTTTTATTTCTGTTATCCCCACTCAGAACCAATTAGGTGACAAATCCTGGATTTGATTTTGGGAAAAGGACTTTGCAAAATGAGGTGAGGACTCCCAGGAATGGCAGGGAATTAGCTTTGCAGTTGTCAGTCATGGCAATAGACCCCTCAGCCTGGGGCAAGAGAGCAGACTTATGAAAACTGCATCTCTTGAGTTGCCCGTTAAGGAAGATTTCATGCCTCTGCAACCTATATCGTATAATAATTACATGTGCACAGTGTCGTTGAATTACAGATTAGTTATCCTTCTGGGAATTACTCATGTTTGACAATATATCTTGTTTGCAAGAGGAGAAAAGGAGAGAATGATTCCAGGGAGGTTATTCATTTATGTCTCTGTATGTCCAGTGTCATTATACCTTTTTTTTTATTGAAGTATAATTAACATACAGTGTTAATAGTTTAAGGTGTGAAATAGAATAATTCAGCAGTTCTGTCCATTACTCAGTGCTCATCAAGATAAGTGTATTCTTAATGTCCTTTATCTATTTCACCATCTCCTGCCACCACCAGTTTTTATTTTATATTTAAGAGTCTTTGGGGTTTTTTTTTATTCCCCAACATTCTGTCTTTGATTTTTATTTTCTATCTTTTTTGCATTTTTTTGCCTTGTTTTAAATTATAATTCTAATACAGTTAACATACAATGTTGTATTAGTTTTAGGTGTACAGTATAATAGTTTAACAATTCTGTATAGTACTTATTACTCATCATGATAAGTGTGCTCTTAATCCCCATCATCTGTTTCACCCATCCCCCACCCACCTTCCCTCTGATAAGCACTGGTTTGTTCTCTACAGATAAAAATATGTTTTTTTATTTGTCTTTTTCTTTGGTTTCTTAAATCCCATGTATGAATGAAATCCTATGGTACTTATCTTTCTCTGATTTAGTTCACTTAGCATAATACTCTCTGGAATCATCCATGTTGTTGCAGATGGCAAGATCTCTTTTTTATGGCTGAGTAATATTCTGTTTGTGTGTGTGTGTGTATGTCACATCATTGTATATGTATACCACTATAAATGAGGTTACTTGTATTTCTGTATGCTGAATTTTTTTTTTTTTAAGATTTTATTTATTTGAGAGAAAGCATGGGGACATGAGCTGAGGGAGAGGCAGAGGGACAGGGAGAGGGACAAGCAGACTCCCTGCTGAGCACAGAGCCTGATGAGGAGCTTGATTCCAGGACCCTGAGATCATGACCTGAGCCAAAGTCAGACACTTAATGGACTGAGCCACCCAGGCACCCCTGAATGTTATTTGTTAGTAGGTTTTGTGGGAGTTTGCTTAAAAAACAAATAGAGATTACTTGTTGTTTGCAAGAAACTTCAAATTTTCTTAGGAAAATGTAACATTATGCTTTTCAAAAGATTTAGCATTTACCAGGCAAGCACAAATGGGATGGAGTAGTATAATAAAATAGGTGATTTCACTTCTGAGGAAATTAATATTTTGTAAAATGGGTGCAAAGATATATTGAGTCAGTGATACAATTATATAGCTATTTTATAACGTGGACACAAATCCTGATTTTTTTCTACATACTCATTGGAGAATGTCTTGAGTGTATTTTATAGATAATTTTGCAAGTTACTCCACAAGTGATCATTTGATTAAGTATGTATTTGAGTTGTTGTAATGTGTGCTATGGATGTTGAGCCCTTGCTAATAAAGAGCTTAAAATCTTATTGGGTAGATGATTATACTAGGGCTCTTGGCTGGAGATGACAGAAACCTCCTTAACCAACTTGAACAGTAAGGGGACTTTATTATAAGTTTATAGGATGTCCCATGGAATCCAAGGACAGGGATACAACCTGCAGGGAACTCGGGGATTCCTGCTCCATCTCTTATCTCTGCTATTCTCAGTTTCTTTGTCTCTGATTCTTTCTTCTCTTCTTACACACTGGTTTTCTTGGTTTCTTAGTCTACATGGCAAAAATGGTAATAGCCAAAAACTCCTGAGATTTACTCCTGCAATCAAGAGATCAACTAGTTGGACGGGCGCCTGGGTGGCTCAGTTGGTTAAGCGACTGCCTTCAGCTCAGGTCATGATCCTGGAGTCCCGGGATCGAGTCCCACATCGGGCTCCCTGCTCAGCGGGGAGTCTGCCTCTCCCTCTGACCCTCCCCCCTCTCATGCTCTCTCTCTCTCATTCTCTCTCTCAAATAAATAAATAAATAAAATCTTAAAAAAAAAAAAAAAAGAGATCAACTAGTTGGAAATAGAATCCTATTCCCAATTCCACATTCCCAGTGAAGGGCCTAATTTGTCCATCTTGAATCAGGTTCTTATTCCCGGACCAGTCACCTGGTAGACAGGAGCAAGGTCACATTAACCATATTAGAAGTTGGAGGGAAGGGGTAATGTCTAGAAAAAGAGGTACTAGGTGGAAAGCCCAGTAAGTATTTATCAACGTATTGAAACACAATACAACCAACATCATAATGTACAAAGTGATTTGTAAATTGACAGAAAATAAAATATACTGATAATCTTGTAAGCCAAGGGGGGAATGTATGAATAAATATGGTGTGTCTTGAGTTGAATCTTGAGTAATTTTGAAAGCTAATTCACATAGGTAGCAAAAAATATATTTTTTTAAAATGTCATTCGTGGAAGAACCAATTTCCATACCATAAAGTTAATGAATTACTGATACATGTTATGACACAAATGAATCTTGAAAACATTGTGCTATGTGAAAGAAGCCAGACACAAAGCACTACACATGTACGATTCTATTTATATGAAATGTCCAGAGAGGCAAATCCATAGAGACAGAAAGTAGATTAGTGGTTGCCAGCAGCTGTGGGGAGAAGAGAATGGGGAGTGACTGCTAATGGGTACAGGGTTTCTTCTTAAGATGATGACAGTTTTCTGGAATTAGTGGTGGTGATTGCAACCTTGCAAACAAACTAAAGACCACTGAATTGTACACTTTAAATGGGTGACATCAGTGGTATCTAGATTACATCTCAGTTTTTAAAAAATCTCTAATGAGCTGTGCATAACTTTTCTTCTTCATTTTTTTTTTTTTGATCTGTGATATTCATTGATAAGGATAAGTTATCTTTCCAGCTTTGTTAGAGTTGAGTTAAAGAGTAGAATTTATTAAGGATACCTAGATGGCTCAGTTGGTTAAGTGTCTGCCTTTGGCTCAGGTCATGATCCTAGGGTCCTGGGATCGAGCC